TAAATCTCCTGGTGGTCTGCCATAAAATATATTTATATAGTCGGCATTAGATGGCCAATTAAGGTGACAAGGATATTTGCCAAGGGATAACATTCCCTTCTATCTGATGTTACATACAAGCTAAAAGTGAATATATTCTGGAATCGAGTCTCCATCACCTCTTTTTAACTTCGAATGCTGAACGATTTTAACATCAAAACGATTTCAGTTATTGAAAACTTGGTTTCGCCACCTAGATATATTATTTGCTTCTTTCCATGTCTTTGATAATGTCCAAAAGCATAGCCAAAAGCGCTTCGGAATGACAGAACATTCGGACAATTTATATTCAGTTTTCAATTTGCTTGTCTGAATCATCTTCAAGAAGCGTGAGCAAGATCTAAAAGGTCAACCAATCTAACAATGATCTCATCTCACAATTCTCACACCTGCTCCATATGTGGCCTCCTTTGTAAATCACTAGCGGGTCTTAAATGCCACTTAAAATTATCGCATAAACTTTCATAACTGAATCAATAAGCTGGCAGATCCTTATACGTCGAAACTGACGGGAGAGTCCATTATATATATATATAAGCCGTTGGATCTGTTAAAAATGTCCACGAGAAGCGTTCTGGAAGACAGCGGACATAGATAAGCCCCACAAAGCAAGAAAGATTACTGAAAGCGTAACACTAAAGTTCATCAAAATCTGTGCGGCAAGCGAGTCGTGAGGTAAATATTTCAAAATCGTCTGTCCCACGCATTTTGAACCACTGTAAATGGGAAAGTTACATTTCAAGTCATATATTTTTTTATATTCGGTAATAGATGTATTTCGACAGATATATATTTAATACTTGCCTCATTAGACCGAAATTACAAAATGCTTTAAATTTATCCAGGCAATATGTTAAAAAATATTTAAAATTAAATCGTAAGGGAACAGGAACTAAATGTATAAATTACTTGACCTAGAAAAATTCCTGGGGATTTACATTACTGAAGAGAAGAGTGGGGAAAAGTAAAAAGAGAAACAATGTGTCAGCATAATGAGCAGGGGTAGGTTGGGGAAGTACAAGTGACAGCTAGTGAAATACATTGAAATTAAATCAAAATTTATGTCGTCATCATCATCAATATAAAAATGTGTGAAAAATGCATAGTATAATATATAAAAAATATTAAATTCATTATATCTAATTCATCTTCATAATAATAAAATACATCATATATATGTGTGTGCGTATGTGTGTGCGCGCCATATACATATAAATACATATGCAAATATACACATCGATACAAACACAAGTAAACACAAATACACAATGCATACACATGCACATACATACATAAATTTATACATACATACACACACACACACACACACACACACACACACATATATATATATATATATATATATATATATATGTACACATATAGATACATATAAACAGCTTCAGGGGAGATAACTAAGTTATGACTTTGTTGTGAGATTTTTTAAATAAGTATTATCTACTGTAAACATTTAAAAATCTTCACTATTCATAATTAATTTTATTAACGGTTGGTTTCAATTAAAAAATATAGATGCATTTTCAATAAGAATTTTTTCTGAATTGCGAGTGGCGGCAGCTATGCTGTTGTAAATGTTTAGAAATGTTGGACGCATCATTCAAATAAAAACTCAGCCAACTTGGTCATCGTGTGGTCAACATAAATATTATTTTTCTGTTGGAGATACAATCTCTCGGAAAACATTGAAATTTATATACAATGTTGGTTTTCTGCAACACATTAGATGGTGAGAGGGGTCATTACGAATGATTAAATTGGATATAATGGATTTAGTGGTAGATATCTGTGGTGGATATATTAGTATTTATTATTTTTTAGGATATTTTCGTCTTGTTTATAATTAGAATGTATTTGATTGCGGCATAAAAATTAATATGTTTAGGATTAGTTAAAGAAGTATTATATTGTTTGCTTTGTATTAACATCTCTGATAGATCATCTTATTTGTTCATCAACAATATAATGAGGGAAGTTATTATTAATAAAATTTTCTTTTATATTTTTAGTTCGCTGTAGAAAAATCTGTTTTGTGATTGAATTAATTTTCCACGGTATATTAAGTTTTTATAATTGTTATTTTATAGTAATTTGGACATTTACAGTTGCGGGTGTACGAATTTATGCTGGTCGGTGTTTTATGTGGAGAGATAGTGATATTTATTGTTATTAGTGTTATTAGTATTAGTGTCTACAAAAGGAATTTTCTTACTTTTATTAATTTCGTATGTAAAGTTGAGGACATAATTATTTTGGAATTGTTTTTGGAGTTGATGTCTTTCTTCCGTATTTTTGACGAATATAAAGATATCATCGACGTATCTTAAGTAGATGGGGTTTTCTTTTTTTTTAAATTTGTAAATATATTATTTTGAAGATCAGACATATAGAAATTGCTAAAAGTTTGATCCATAGAAACGCCATCCCATTGTATATATATATATATATATATATATATATATATATATATAATTTTTTGTGATCATAGAATAGGACTTCGGTAGTGCAAGTTAATAGTAGTTCCCGTAATACACTAGGGCTTATTTTAATTTAAAATGATAAACAATACAATATTTGTCTTGAAAAAAACCCTGATGGTGACATGTGCTAATGTCGAAAGTACTCGGAATAAATAATATGTATTAACACGGAAATTTTCTTTTTTTCCTTTAATAATGACACCAAATAACTTGTCCGTGAATATGAATGGATCCAATTGAAAATAAGTAGACAAAACTTGTTTAAATTATTAAAGGAAACCTGTCTCAATGAAAACATGCTGCAAAAAAATATACGAAATACACACACACACACACACACACACACACACACACACACACACATATATATATATATATATATATATATATATATATATATATATATATATACAAATATAGATAACTAGACTCGTTTTTGAAAAACCCTCGAATTTTGATTTGCTAATAATCAAATCAATCTCGAGGAAAAAAGGTTTTAAAAAAAGAAAGAGCTACAACCATGAACTTCTGCCGACAAAAAATCGCACAGATGCATGTCTGAAGTCCAAAGAAAAAACCCCGATACGATTAAACAACTAACAAAAGCGCTCAATACAACCGTAGAGCAGACCTAGATAAACCTAGTGAGCCAGACAAACCGACCTAGGTTTCACCTAAACGGATCGTCAGGGAAAAAGGCTCTTACTTTCCCTGACGATCCGTCTAGGTGAAACCTAGGTAGGTTTGTTCTCATAGGTATATATATATATATATATATATATATATATATATATATATATATATATATATATATATATATATATATATACAAAATGTACTCACTTAAGCGCAAACACTTTCATATATATATATAGAGATATATAGTGTTTGTGAGCAGTTTCCTTCTTCAGATTACGCAGACAGTTTTGTATGTAAAGCATTTTTGAAAATGCAGGAAAGCGAAAGTAGATAATTCCAGGCAAATAATTTTATTGGTTAAGCAAGCTCGTGGTAGACCAAATGCACCAACTGATGAAACATTAAACCTTAGGATATAGTGATGCATTTATTATATAAATTGTGTGCATCAACATTGCATGGTCACTACTAGTATGACGCATAAAGCGATCATCAAACCCTCTTCGTCTTGAGTACTACATATGGCAGAAAGGCCACTGACTAGGAGGCTTTGAGAAGCGTGGAACCACCTCTCAATTTCTGTTGTTCCCAGGTCCACCCTGACTCTGTTTGGTAGCACCTGTTTGGGTCCCAGCTATTGACAAATAGTGACCCCCATCCAAACTGTGGTCAAAACACTAGGAATATATCAAAATAAATGTTTATAGGAAAATTACCAGCAATATATTATCATTGTAAAAACAATACCAGCAATTCATTTTTGTAAGGAAAAAAAAAACTTATTACCAGAAATATATTTACGTAAAAGTGCTCCCTTATTTTAAGCATTAAATGACCCATAAGAAGTTGATATGCCGCTAAGCAAACAAACATCAAGCCCCCTATTATTACTCTTCGTATCAGTTCATTGAAGATTATGAGAAAGAGGAAAGAAGGGAAAAGAGTTTTTCTTGATTTTAATTTTTGAAGTTTTAGTACCTCTTACCTATATATTATCTTAAATACTGAGCTAGACTGTATTATTCAAGATGTGTATAAAGGTTATGGTCTCAGCAAAAGTAACTTGGTTAGTTGAATTTCGAATTTCAGTTGAGGAAACAAAAAAAGGATTCCTGATTTTCTTCAAGAGTATTTGTATAAAGCGAACACGAACAGCCTCTACTGAAAGAAAGCTGAATGAATTCACTTCATCTTTTCTCTTCATTTTGACGTATTCACCGAGAGAAATACTAGTTACCGGTATGCTATCATAGTTAACAGAGTAAATGGGTATTTATCCAAACCACTCGCATATATCTCCTACTCATTATATAAAAAGGAAGTAATGGCTGGTTACTCGTTTCCAAATATGTTTGCGTGGCAAGCTATTTCCAGCACATCTGAATTTTTTTTTTTTTGACAACAGATGATTAACACAGTGACTATATTGAGCGAACATGGTCTGCCGTTGTCAACAGCTGAACAGGAACACAGTGACTTGTAATTTCTTACTAGCACACCCATTCACGCCTTCCGAAAAATTTCATTGAAACACTCTCACAATGCTTGTGTTTATTGATTGATTATTTTGTTTTCTACGGTTTATCAAACATTTGCAGGTTATTTAAAGGCAGAAAATATTTTTACTGTGTAAGAATTGCGGAGAGAGAGGGGGGAGATAATGGCTGAGTGATACAAGACGTAGTAATTAACCTATAGCTGAGAAAGAAGAACTGGATACATGCATTTCACGCGGGAATTATCACGTTAATATAACGGACACAACAGGAATTGCAACTTGGATCACCGATTAACATTTCCATTAGACCACCTGCACATTTAAACATACAGCACTTGGTTATTAGCAAGCAGTCACCCATCCAGGTACTGACCAGGCGCAACATTGCTTAACTTCGGTGATCTTATGGTAACCGGTGTTTCGATGTAAGTCACAATGCGTGTAAAAACCCGACTATGATAAGAATTGAACTAGCGTCTCATGGTCGGAATGCCCGCTTTATAACCACTTAACCATTTGCACATTTGATGTAAAGCTATTATTAAGCATGACAAAGGGTTACTGTACACTTTACAAGCAAATCACGCTGGTGATTTGTTTGTTTTTCTAATTTTAGTGAATAATTGGTTTGGTTCTTAAAAAGCAGCGTTAATGATTTAACAAGAAAAAAATAATGAATTGAAAGCAAAATATGAATTTTCTGTTTTCGTTAATTAATAAAAGTTTCAATCATCAAATAATAATTATGAAATAATTTATCTATTATTAAATACATCAAAAATCAAATTATGACAATTCCAAAACGTTTTCGTTTAATTAATGCAATTCACATCTAAAGCTAAACTAATCTTTTGAAGTCAATTTAAATCAATTATAATTTTTATACGCTCCATCAAAATACGTCAATGAGTTTATAACGACAAAATTATTTAATATTGTTGAGTTAACCCTTCAGTTCCACAATAAGTATGTTTTTTTGCATTTTTTATCATTTCACCACAAGTGAAAGAGTAAAACCATTAAGATGAATATGAGAAAAAGAAAACATTATTAAGGAGAGAGAACAATAAAAGAACAGGAATTAAGAAGACAGAAGATAAAGATTGACATAGTAATTTAAATTTTTGAAAATCAAATTTGACCGGAAAGCAAGAAGTCGAAAGTAACTTCGAGAAACGAGAAATGTGAGAAAAGAAACTGCTAGCATAAAACTTACATTTAGCGATTACAACTGTAAAATTGCGAGACCTAGCCTTCACTCTAGTCGTGAGCTTAAATTCGTAAAGTTTCGATACTATAGAGGAAACCTCGTCAGAATAATTACCATGAATATGTATATAGAAAGGGCACAGGGAATTCACGTTACGGCGTTGAGAAATGACTGAAGTCAATACGCCAGACCAGGAACGATAAGATTGCAGATTCTTCTTGTATTTTCTCAAGAATTTCTAAATATATAGCCAAAACACCAGACCAGATGTGGCAGCAATATTCGATGCCTGGAAGAAAGGTAAACGTATATATGTATCAGATTGAGTCTGGCGAAAAAAAATGGTCTCTGACGACACAATCATCCGGTTTTCCTAGCAGCATCTCATTAATGTCCACCGTAAAGTTTTAAAATTCAAATAAATTCCTCTATTACTCAGATGTTTGTACAAAAATCTAGCAATAATAATGTTTATGAATAAAAAAAAAATGGTATTAATTATCTGCGTATAAAACTGCAGTATTAACTATACATTTGAACCTCTAAGCTATTATTGTATACCATCTTAATAGTTTGAGGAAGATATTCCCTATTTTTGTATTTAATACCAGAAGAACGGCTTTTGTTAACAATTTATTGAAATAACAAAACAAGTTGTTTACACTGTTTCTTTTATACCTCTTTGTCTATTGATGACGTGAACAATATGGGCCTCACAAACTTCCAATCTGTTATATTTATAAATAATACTTGCCTTTTTAGTATCAAACTAGCAGTAGAGCCCGGCGTTGCCCGGGGATGTAACAGTAAGAGATAGATCAAGTATCGACCATCATAAAGACTGAAAAATAAAATTGACAAAGATTATTGTTTAAGGTTGACGGACACGCATGTCTTAATTAGTTTTTTTTTTGTTTTTATTTTTACGAATTGTTCAAATCCAAACTCAAACAAAAACATTGTTTTCAATCGTTATGAGTCTACCGATTGAATAGAATTTTATTATAAACAATTGTCTTTTAAAGCATTCTGAATGTAAAAATAAAGAAAAAAGTGTGCATGACAATAAGAAACACTACCTGCCTAAAAAAGTGAAGTTTTGTTGAAATCGGTTGAAAAATGTAGGAAATCCGATCCCATATATAAACGAACACAGACACACACACAAACAACCTGGGTTTTATAATAAGTATAACTCGATATGAGTTGTCCCCCTTTCATTCTCACGGCAGTGATGCCTCTTAATCGTATTTTCAAATTGGTTTCGTGCAAAAACAATTGTGTTTTTGCAATTTTTGGCGCCGTCAGAACCACCGCAAGGTAATTTTACGTAGTCCTGTGAAGTTTTGTTGAAATCGGTTGAAAAATGTAGGAAATCAGATCCAATAGACAAACGAACAGACACACACACACACAACCTGGGTTTTATAATAAGTATGATTATCGAAGCCCTATTGCGTGTCCTTAGAATTTCTGTCTTTTATTCTACGCATAAGTGTTACAATTTACCTTAAAATATCCACATGCTCACATGTTAAATACAAGGTATTCACAGTATCTTTCTGTAGAAGTTCATTACTGTTGCCGAAAGTCTTCAGTTCATCATTGTCTACCATTCACTGCCATATAAAAGAATTGATATTGCATAGCAGTTCAGTATTCATTTCTTTGTTTCTTATCGACATTTTTCACTTTATTGGCGGATTTAGATAGTGCATATAAACTCGGAAATCATGTAGGTAGGAGAAAAGGCAACCGCTAATACATTGATTCACATCTCTCCCTTATATATATATATATATATATATATATATATATATATATATAGTTTTTACAGTAAGGTTCACCCTCTACAAGGCCCGGGTGTCACTCGAGGTAGTGGATTGCATTAAGGGGTAGTTTACATGGATAGGAGGGAAAGGTAACGTTTGATTCTAGACGTGAACAGGTTAAGATTGTTGTGATTAGGGAAATATCCTCTTGGGAGTCTGTTACATAGAGCAGTGGTCCGCGGGTAGAAGCTGCTTGAGTCGAACTTACTTCTCGCCGATGGAATACGGATGAAATGTCGGTGGTTTGCTTCTATGTAAGTGGCATGGCGGGTCCTAGAAGTGAAGGTCTGACCTGGTGGAACCGGAAGATGCAGTTCATCCAAGCACTTTCTATAGTATTAGCGAAAGAGCAGCGAGAGACTCGTCACATCCCGCCTCCGTGTGTGTTAGTGAGTGTATGTGTGTGCTCGCGCGTGTGTGTGTGTGTGTGTGTGAGAGAGAGAGAGAGAGAGAGAGTGGGGGAGGGAGAGAGAAGGGGACAGGGAGAGAGAGGGAGGTTGGAGTTTGGGAAATAACTGGATAGTGAGGTCAAGACTGCTCCTACCCAAATATGGCAACATTCCTCCATTTTCAGCTTGATCTGGCTCTCATAAAGGTAGAGGATAGCATGGAGAGTCAGGTACTTACTGGAGCGGTTTCATTTAGGAATTCCACTTGAGGTCGGGTGTCAGTATCTTCTCGAGATACGGAGCCTCCTCCAGGGGAGACCTGTTCATCGTAACTGGTGATATTTCAGGTTCTGATCGGCAGTTTGGTTTTTCAAGGCATTGAATGTAGCCAGCCAGTTTTTACCCCACTGAGAAGTTAGTTTTAGACCAGCAGTGAGATCAGCTGCCAATTTCTGATCATCAAGACTTTTAGAGATGCGTCCATATATAGTCGTATCATCAGCATTGATTTTTACAAATGATCGGTGTATATTCTTAGGTAGTTCATTTATGTAAAAAAAAAATTATGAAAGAGGGTTGGTCTGCAAATGCCTACGTTGATCGGCAAGGACTCGGAGGACTGGTCGTTAATAACTACCTTCAAGGATCTACTTGTTAGTAAGGGTTTCGTGATAGAGAAAACACTTCCTGTGATTTCATAGCTGGAGAGATTGTGTAGCAAACCTTTGTGCTACACTTTGTCGACAGCCGATTATATCTAATGCTATGGTTCTTGCGTTAAGCGTGTCATCAAGGACCTCACTAATGCTGTGTGTAATGGTAGGTCGTCAGCAGTTAATCGGGCTGATCGAAACTCATACTGCTCATTGCACAAAAGGTTGTTCCCATCCAGGTACTCGACGACCTTGTTGATTAAGGCCTCAAAAAGCTTACTGATGATACTGAGGAGACTAATGCTGGAATGAGGAATATTGGTTGCACGCGTTCTTGAAGATGTATATGCAAATGAGAGAAATAACAGATGAAGTAAATTTCCACTGTTTGTAGCATTTACGTTTAATAAGTGTACAAAGTATTATTATTATATTTACCATAATAGATTATAATAAAACATGTTGAAATCGCTGCACAAAAGCTTGCATATTTCAATACTTTGATTGTACTTCGGTTAGATAGAGAAAAAAAAACAGTCTTTTAGAAAATGGCGAACAAAGACAGATCATTATAATATGCGCCACTATTGTTTTTCAAGTTCTGAGAGAACGTGTAACATATTTCTAAACTTTGTTAGCATGTTGTTCTTTGTATAAAATAAAACTTTTCATTTACGTGCTTCCGACATCTCCCGCGCTGCTCTTTGTTATTTGTAATCTTTGACCTCAAACCGTGCCAAGCTAATAATGAAATATTTTTTTTATTATATACGACAAGTACAACGGAGGCCGTCGATATATATTTGATGCCATCCAGCATTGTCATTAAAGTAAATCTTTTCCTATTTAAATCACAAAGTATATAAAAATTCATAGCCCAACCAAATGAGTCACTGATTAAACGTTTCTACTTTATATACTTCTTTAGGATTAACGCTATTCCAGAATTATCTTAATCACACGTGTATAAGTCATTGTTGCGAAAACGTAATAAATGTAAAATAAATATTTAATTACATATTACCATTATTGTTTTTATATTAAATTTTGTACATAACGTTCGTTATTAGATATACCATGAGCATGGATCGTTGAAAATTAAACATATTGTCAGGCTGCTACAATTAAATATATTTTATCTGTTGGAAGACCGTTCCTGATTAAAATTACAGACGGTAATAACATTTGAAAAGGTCAGTCTCTTTTTCCTTTCGACTTCGGAGTGACAACACGTGCTTTTTAAATCCTCGAGCAAAACACGCACCTGGTACATACTTCAGAGACATCAACTGATAATGGTGTTGGACTATCGACAATTTCAGTTATGAAGTTCCTTTCTAGC